CGGTCTCCTTCTCAGTCTTTCATGTCCTGCTTGACCACAGAATAGGCCTTGGGCCTGGAACACTTCCTTATCCAAAGAGCCCTCACAGCCTGTGCCAGGCTTATCAGCTTGTGTGGGAATATCCTTCCCTGTTTCACACTGAATGTGTGCTCCTTTGTTCTGCTTAAGCATGTGTATCAGTGGCCTTGGCACCCCCACTTCCCAATTTCAGTACTTCAGACTCTTGTCGGGAGGGGAGGGAGTCTTCTGATCTGGCACTAAAGGGTGCTCTTTGGCTGTATGCTGGAGGTGGGAGGCACCCATGGGCCATGAAGGACCTATGCACACTACTGGAGCTGATCTTGCTGCCTCTTCTCTGTGTGAGTTCCATCCGGTGCTTGACCATGTTGTTTTCCTTGGCAACTCTGATACCAAAAAGTCATGGACAGAAATGTCTGGACTTGTCTCTGGTGGCTGGCACTGTGATGATCTTTGCAATCCTCCGTGTAGTTGCAGTCCCCTTTTGGCGTTGGTTCCTGGTGCACGGTGTTCTTCTCAACAGACATCATGTTTGGCTTGGGATGGCTTAGCTAGTCTTGGACCACTTCCACTTCCTTCACCCTTCCCTCAACACCAGTGCTTCCTGCTGTCCCTCTGTACTTGAACCTCCCTTCCAGGGAACAGCCCTGCTCTACATTTCCCTCCAGGGGAACCCCATGTACCTTGCCTCAGCTAAATGTCAGCAGCAAAGACATGGACCTGTTGGTCATCCTGGGAAATTTTGCTCACCCTCTAGACTAGAATAGGGCCCCATGACATATCAGACAATATGAAAATTCTTGTATCTTTGATAGGGTAACTCCCTATCAAATCTGCCCCCGAGGAAATGAGACTATATGTACCACCATAAATCTAGCCAAAGAGGACGGGTTAGGTAACTAATGCTGAACTACTCAGGCCTATTATGTAGCCATGATTAAAAACTATTACCAACAGTGAAATAGTTATCATTTGTTAAGCAAAAGGGGGAGAAAAAGAGCTATATCACGACTACAAGTATGGGAAACACACATAAGAGAAAGACTAGAGTGGCATCTGGTGGTCACCTGGGCCATGGCATACAGGCAGGACAGGGTTCCAACCCACATAGAGGCTCTGGGGTCAGAATGCTTAGGTTTGAAGATAGGTTCCACACTGGAAGCTGTAGGACCAAGAGCAAGTTATTTAGGGCCTCATTTACTCTTTTACTAAACAGGACATATAATAGTAGTGTCAGTCTGAGGGCTGTAGTACAGATAAATGAAATAGTAGATGTCAAGCGCTTAAAAGAGTACCTGGCACACAGATAGTAATATGTTAGTTATGGTAAGAGATGGAATTACTAGAGTTTTTTCTCTTGTATTTGTCACTACAGATAAACACACATGTAAAGTTTCAAATTCCAGCTCATCAACATACTATGTGTGTAACCTGGGTAAGTTATCTAACCTCTATATGCCTTAGCTTGCCCACTATTAAGCTGGAATGGTAATATACAGAGCCATGGTCCCCTCCTGCCAGTGACCACCCCGGCCAAAGCTGCTGTCCACAGCATGACACATCAAGTTGTAAACTCCCATCCAGTGTCACCCTCTGAGGAGATGCACACATCCAAGGTTCTATTTTCATAGCACTCTGGATGCCTTAGGAAATGAACTGTTTTGTCTAAAGCTCTGGAAATGATCAGTATAAAAGCAGTTTATCATGATGTAGTCAGCTGTCATACTGGATTTTAAGGGATTTTTAGAAACAGCTTTTCAAAAAGTTTATGTAAACTACATGCTGTCTCTCTTCTCCATGTGTTCTAGACGAGACTAGAAGCAACTTGTGGGCAAGAACAGTATTTTTAATTTCTTTTGGCTCTCACTAAACCTCGCAGAGTGCTCAGAACATTTTAAGATTCAGTTAATGCATGCTGATTAACATCAGTCTTACCCAGAAACAACTTCTTAAACCACTTTGAATCCTTTTAGTGAAATCAGAGATCACATACACCAAGGTATTTGACTCCTTTATTTTCCCATCAGTTGCTACCTATAAGGTCACACTTAAGGATTCTAACTGTTCTTCCCATAACAGAATGCTTTCCTGCTTATTGGCTCTGGGAGAGAAATGGCAAATGGACAGAAAACCAACCTCCGTAGACGTGTATAAGAAATCAAGAGTTTTCTAAGACTATAACCTGAAAGTCCTATGTCTGCCTTCTATAGGGTAAGCATATTGTCATTCTAGCTGCTATTCCACCAGAATACACCTTCACAGGTCAAACTGGATTACTCCCTTAAAATACTGGGTTATGTTCAAGTAGTAAAAACAAGAATGGTGGATTCTATTAAATATTTTTACATTTGCTTATTGCAATACTTAAAACATCAGTTTATAATTTTTGACACATTCATCAGTTCAACAAATGCATGACTCTTTTAACCTGACCGAAGTTGTAAGTCAACACTTCACTGGAGAAAAGGTATGATGTTGCAGCATTAATTTCCGAAATGAAGGACTGAAATTCTTTCCAACTCCCCTTTCAGTCCATCACTATTCCACATGTTCCTGCTCTTGTCCTGGAATTAGCCACCGAATACTCTCAGTTCGAATGGTGGCATACATAATAAAACTGATTAAAAAGAATAAGGAAAACACAAGCAACCAGTCCACACTTTTTATCAAAGTGCTAGGAAGAGGGCCTATTTGGTCTGCTTGAGTTACCACCACATTTTTCTTGGCTTCTATACCTGAAAGAGAAATCAGGTGTTTCAAATCAGATAGAAAATATACCTGCTACAGATATTCCTGAAGCACTCTGCATGGTATGCAAAATGATACGCAGTCTTAAACAAACACCACAGCTAGTATATCTGGGGTGGGCTTCACTTGCCTGTTGGTGTGATTTCTAATTTGCCTTTCTTCCCACCACATCAAAGGAGCAGGAATCCATTCAGCTATTCAAAGCTAAAACACTAGAATTTTAGTGAACTCACCAGAAGGGTCTTAGTCAGTGCGATGTATGAGTTGTCTTTTGTTCTTCTGCGAGACCAAAGTTCAGTAACTAGTAAAGCTATTCTCAGGAGTCTACAGAATGTTTGCACAGGTTAAGTAATGCTAAATTCAAAACGCTTTTAAGTAATTTACTGAAAGAATTGTTCAAACAACTAACCACCACCGGGATCAGTGATTACCAACGATGCTGTGACTCCTGGACTTCACTGAGCAAAATGGCTCCCTCTCTCCATGTCAGTCCAAATGACAGTCAGGGTCTGGTATAAGACTTGCAATAACTAATCACCTGGTAACAAGCCTTTTGCTCCTATGAGGTAACTCAGCTCTCTGTTCTTCTGTGTTAGGGGTAAATAATTACATGCATGTAGCTAAGTATATATTGAAGGTGTGTTATAATTTTTGTTTACTTCCAGTGACTTTATTACAGAAAGAAGAAGGGTGCTCTTGGTTGAGACATTAAAGTTTTTGAGGAGTGAACATTTTCAATGAAGGAAATTTCATTCAATATCTTGTAATAACCTATAATGGAAAAGAATCTTTTGAAAAAGAACATATATATATATATATATATACACACACACACAAACTGAATCACTTTGCTGTACACCTGAAACCAAAAGTGTAAATGAACTATACTTTAATAAAAATAAATAAAAATATACAGTGCTCAAACTTTTACAGAATAAAAATCAGGCCATATGTTTTGGTAAATATAAGGAATTAAAATAGCATGTACAAATGGATTAATAAACAGAACAGCATACAGCAACCAAAATGAACAAAACACAAGCATACACAACAATGCAGATGAATCCCACAAGCGTAATGGTGAGTGAAATCAGCCAGACATGAAAGAATCCATACTGTAAGTCTCCACTAATACAAAGTTCAAAAACAGGTAAGACTAATCTGTGACGTTAGGAGTGAAGATGGTGGTTATCCTCGGGGAGGGCAGAAGTGACAGTGCTCACAGGGGTTTAATAATATTCTCTTTCTGGATCTGAGTACTGGTTACCCAAGGTGTTCACTTTGTGAAAATTCATCGCTATGTACACTAGTGATTGATGCATATTTCTGTGTAAATATTATAGTTAAATGAATTATGTATGCAAAAAAGGTATCTACAGATGTATGGTATGTGAATTTTATCTCAATAAAGCTATGACTTTTTCAAAGGTATCTATAATCATAGTAAAATTACCTGTTCACGTTCAGCCTGCCACTGGATGGGCATTATTTAACAGGATCATAACATTTCACTAGAAAAGAAGTTTTACATACCAAAGCCAATCTTTTTTTTTTAAATTGAAGTACAGTTGATTCACAATGTTGTGTTAGTTTCTATGTACAGCAAAGTGATTCAGTTATACATATACCTTTATATACACTTTTTCATTGTAGGTTATTACAATACATTGAATATAGTTCCCTGTGCTACACAGCAGGACCTTGCTATGGACCAAAAGATTATCATACTGTGTGAAGTAATTCAGACAGAGAAAACCATATCATATGATATCACTTGTACGCAAAATCTTAAAAAATGGCACAAATGAACTTACTAACAAAACATAAACATACTCACAATGAAACCGAACTTACCAAAGCCAATCTTGAATCCTTCACTTAAGGATATGAGCAGATCAGAACCCACAGAAGGCATATTCCCCCAGCAATAAAATGTCTTCTTCTACAGGGTATTACGTCTACATACCTGTCTGGTTAAAAATGAAGATTTTCAGTGTTTCCAGTGTTCGGTCTGTATGATTAAATCTAGCCATTGGTTTAGCTCCTTGAAATAACAAGATGTTAGGAACAGCTACGGTGCCAAACCTGGTAGAAAGGCTACAAGAGAAAGAAGTCAGTCAGAAAACCTGAATTAACCGTGGGCTTCCTCACACAATTACTATATCAGAATGAATGGCAATAAATGAGAAAGGATTAGTTTCCTGTGACCTATGAGGCTTCTGATATTCAAACAATAGGCTTGTAGTTGCTTCTGACTCCCCTCCTCGTGGGTCGTGGTTGGAGAAATTCCTGCTCTGCTCTATGAGTTGCTTTCTATTACAATATGGAGCTACCCATGACAATCATTCCACTATTTCAGTTCCTCACCGACAGAACAGATCAAACCGGAAAATTCTAATTCAGGGACAAAGCACACTGTGTCCATTTACTTGACAGAAGAAATTTCAAACTCTCCAGAATGCCAATCTCCATCCCTCATGAAAGATTCAACTGATAGTAAGCAGTTAGGTTGGTGAGTCAGTGAATAGGAATCTACAATCTAACAAACATACCAGGAAGTTCTCAATTAGGGCAGGACAATTTGGAAGTAACACAACCTGAGGGGTACTGTTTCGCTTTTACAGAATACAAAGCAGTGGTATAAGCTCTGGAGTCAAAACACTCTGAGCTCAAGCCTCAGTTCTGCCACTGAACCAGGTGTGTGACCTGTGGGTGGATTATTTAGCCTTTTCAGGCCTCAGTTTCCTCCATTAGTAAAATGGTAACATTGGATAATCAGGATTTTTTTTGTAACATAAATAATAACACATGAAGCAAACACGTCCTTGCAAGCCATATGATAAGAACAAGTATCCTCTATTCTCCATAATCAGGGCACCATACCAGGCACTGAGAAGGATGCATGGACATGAAGGGGAAACAAAGCGGATGATAAGCCTGCAGGGGATGGGGGGCAAGATGGGGGTTAGTATCAGACCCAAAACTGAAGAGTGCTGAGCACAGGCTGGGAGCCAGCCCTGCTGGCTTGGGGGCAGTGTAGCGCCCAAAGCTGGACATTGACCTGACTGGATGTCCTCCTCATCAATCTGTAACTTTGGGCCCAGCCACTCAGATACCTCCCTGAAGTGTTTGTGAGAATTACTAATTTGTTGGGCAATTTCTTTCTTCATAAACAATTTCAGGTAAACATTGCCAGGTGCATTACCCACACTGAAAACCAGTGCCTCATTTTTATCACCAACTTGACCATCTTCCACACTTTCCAATTCATTCATACACAACCTCCTTGTGACCTGCTAAGTAAGGAACATCTGGTTTAGAGGAGGAGGGAAGCACATAGTTGATAACCTCTGGATACAGTCATAGGGCTTAGGGGAAATATATAACATCTGCACAAACTTCTCTGTAATCTATCTTACTGTACATTTAGAAAAGGCAAAACCCCACTGAACTATATGAAAGAGTATAAAACAAGGGTAAATGTATTTCAAAGGGATAATTCATTAAATTTATTCAATGTCTAAGAACATGCATGCAAGAATAAATGTAAGCACGAAGAAAGAAGGAAGGCGGGAAAGGAAGGACAGAAAAAAATAAAAAGGAAAGAAAGAAATCCTTAGTAGACATACAACGGGGGTGCTGCGAGTTAGGCTGCTCAGGGTGGGGCCCTAAACTGCAGGTGAAAGTCACAAAGGAAGAACCTACCAATGATGCTAATTCTGCTAATTCAGTTTGGCCAGGACCCTAAACAGTCCTCTGCCCTGTCCCGGGCCATCTGGCAGTGCCAACTTTAAATTCTAGCACACAGAGAATAGTCTTTCTTCTCAAAGGGTCTCCAGAAAGTGATACCCTCAGTTCCCTCAGGAATGTGACAATCCTCACTACTCACACTTGCCTCTCCCTCCCCTCAATTCTATTTCAAAGCTCCAGCTCATGCCTACCTCCTCTGCTCCTAACTCAACTAATTACAACCTCCAAGTAACTGCAACCGTCACCTAACAGGATGAGACAGAAACCCCACTCAGGGAAGATACCTGCTGTGCTGAGATGCATCCAGTGCCAAAAAATGAAGAGCTGGAAACGCCCGGGGCAGAGAATTAAAATGAGGGGCCAAACTGGCAGAAAATCGGCACCAAGGGGTGTAAAACAGGACTAGTGTGCAGTCACTACCGTTTGGGTTGAGGAAATCCATGAGGTCCTGTGACAAAAAGAAACCAGTGTTAAAGTCAGCAGTGAAGGATGTGTACATTTTCTGGAAGGATACCCAAGAAACAGGGACCACGACCACCTCCCTGGAAAGGAGGCAGGGACAGGAGGGAGACTAGTGCAGCTCCTTAAGAACCTTTCGGGTTTGGAACCACATGGATCCATGAATCAACAGAAAAGTATCATCAAATGACACATTACAAACTTCTCTAAGCTTTCTTCTTATTATAAAGCAACTTTAATATTTTTTCATAATTCGTCAATTCATATACTAGGTACTCACAGGGTACAGGCCACTGTCCCAGCCCTGGGACAATCTGACAGCATTATTAAAGCACTGTGACCTCAGGCCCAAACCATCATCTCAGTACAGCCAAGTCTGTACTAAGCAGCCAGATCCATGTATTTGGCCAAAGGTTAGTTCAGTTCGAGGTTGTACCACTCCTGCCACCCCCGAACTCAGACTGCTCAAACTGCTCTCTCCTGGTCACGTGTGTGACCCCCGTGCAAGAGTCCGCAGAGCTGAGGCGCAGTGACAACCAGGCACTGAGGGGAGGGTGTGAGGCCGCGCTGGCCCCTGCACTGGAGGGGCTACGTGCACTCAAGGAACCACATGTACCCTAGGTTACAGTAAGCAGTCACAGCTTTCAGAGCTAGGATTCTTCTTTTACATAAGCAGTCTGCATTCACTCTGCTCTCTGGCTTTAACAGTCCTACAGAAAATGTCAGTCAGCATCCCGATATTCTCTTGAGAATCACCATTTATCCAACCTGCTGGAAAAGCATGGCTGGACTGGACAAACGTGTCAGCTCTCAGTCCAGAGGAAACACTGGATTCACACTCTTGGGAGGAAAGAAACTTTTTATCAATATAATGTACTTCTCAGGGGCATGACTAGTCTAAACTATGCTAAATTACAACTTAGTAGTTCAGATATTTTATTTTTATGCCTCCATAATAAATGCCTCCTTTGGAAGAAGAAAAAATGTTATGATTCTGATACCAAGCACCTATCTGTCCACTGGGGTTTTTACCATGAGGCTTGGTGGCAAGATTACCCCAAGGATGACCAGATTTAAGCTGCCTAAACAGCATAACTGACACTAGTTTTATCTTCTCTCCCTACAAACATCACAGAAAGCCAACTCAGTTTTCACTGACGCAGCCATCAAATGCTATGCCACTCACAGCACGATAAAGATGATGAGTCTCCATAAGAAAGGTGATAGAGTATTAAATCGTAAAATCAATGCTGAAAAGGAGAAAACTGCTAAATAATTTTTTTTTACCTGTGACATATTTAAAATTTTCAGAGTGAAATTTTCTAAGCCTGTCACATTTCTCTCCTCGCAGTTCACCTTTGGGGATTTCAGACTTTCGGTGCTGTTGGAGTCCTCCGCCGGAGTTGGGTCGGATTCCACCGCTTCAGGCTCCGTGTAATACTCCTCTTCTCTATCTGGGAAGCTTGCTCCAGCGCTGTCCAGAGAGAAGAGGCTCTCCCGGAGATTGCACCTGGAGTCCTCCTCCCCTCCAGCCCCGCAGGTGCCGCCGCTGGGCTCTGAGCTCAGTCTGTCCTCGGCTTCCCCAGGGATCACAGACAACATCACCATGTGGTCGCCATCTGCGTCCAGCCCCAGCACTGCATCGGCCTCTTCTCTGGGTGTGTCCTGGCCCACTGGAGGCTCCTCCTCACTCATGTACACAGCCCCCACCTGGAATGGGTATGCAGGCTGCTCCTCTGCCCATAAGTGACCTCTTTTCTCTGCAACCAAAGCACACCAGCATGTTCACAGTCGTGTATGACTTCAAAATAAATGAGTCCAAAAGAATTACAGTTTTCAAGTATGAAATTTTCTCCTACAGAGAAAAAAGTTACCTTCCCATTAAACTATCAGAGAGCCACCCAGCATTCTCCAAGTCTTGAAGAAAATCACAAGGAGGTACTAGATTAATGAATGCCAATAAGTGGAAAAATACATAACTTCATGTAAAACCCACTGCTTGCCATGTGGATTATAAGCAAAAACATTCCAGTGCAGACATCCAATTAGGAAAATATAATACAAACACCTTAACAGTTTCACTTGTTTGATGTCAATATCCAAGAAAATAAATGATGGCTTTATGGAAAATTCTATGGCAAAGCATCTTTTTGCACCCATTGTAACAGTTCTGTGAGATGGGCGGGACAAGGGTTATCATCTCCACTTAACAGATGACCAGGCTGAGGCACAGAAAGGTTCAGCATAATGCCCAATGGCACACAGCTAGTAGGCAGTAGAGCCAGGTCTAAGAGCGAAGCCTTCTGACTGCTACTCCAGAACAAGCCTTACTCTCCCGCCATGATACCTTGGGGGTTGCTGGTACCACACTGCCTGAGGAACCTTGCAAGTGCCAGCAGTACCTCCTTCCTGAGGTGGTCTGTACAGCTGGCCTCTGCTCTCCTGCCTGCTGCCCTTGGACTACTGCCGTCAGGAGTGCTAAAGGTGCACCCAGCAGTGCAGGGGCAGCAGCAGGGTGACGAGGAGGAGGACTTCCCTTTCACTTTGGAGTCACTAGATAGGGCTTCAGCCAAATGGTCGGGAAAGGGAAGAGTCCTGGCAGTTTGGTATGTCCATTTAGCAACTTCTGTTCACCTCTGTATTGGTGACTCCAGCCCCCCACCTCTCATTACCTCAACAACAGCTGCCAGAAACTGGGCCGAGCACTCACTAGGGGAAACAAACGAGCCCAGCTGCACTCAGACAAGCTCACCATGTGGCTGGGGAGCCTTCAGCTATGTGATGAGCTCTGCAAAGCTGGGGAGGGATCTGAGGTATGCACATTTTTGTTTCCATAGATGTTTGCAGATTCATTCAGGAATTCAAAAACATTCTCTGTGAATATACTTCTGGCTAAGTAGAGTAACAGGGACCAGATTTATCCTCCCTTCTGGAATAACCCAAAAAATAGCCAAATATGCAAAACAACACTTTCAAGAGACAAGCAATCAGACAAGGAAGGACAATGAAGACAGCAAGAAACAGGAAGCAAATGAGTAGAGTCCTACAATTGCTAACTGCCTGAGGGAGTTCCCACCATGTTTCAGGGAGGGCCCAGCAGATTCTTCCAGTTGGGGAGATGGAGCTGAGGGTCTAGAAAGACCAAGAAAGCTAGAGTTTGCAGGACAGCATACCGGAGATGGGAGGACTGCAGAGAGAGGATGCTGGAGATCTGCGGAGGGGCCCCCACCTTGAGTAAATATGTCAGCATATGCATGGAAGCAAAGTACCCAAAGCCAGGGAAAGACTCACTCAAAAGGATTACAGGCAACAGTACACAACACTCACAAAGAGCTGGGAACAATACCTGTTCCCACCAGCTAGACTGGAAAACCTCATAATTCACAGGGCACTGTGGGGAGAACACAAAAGGGACTTGCCTCAGTATGGGGCCCAATTAACCCTAAAGTAAATGTAGCTCTGCTTCCATCCAGCAAACCTTAAAGGTGAGGATCAAACTGTGTTCAAGTAACTTAGCTGTATCCCAGAACAGAGCCAACAAGAATACTTATATGAATACTAAAATATCTAGCATTCAACAAGGTAAAATTTACATCTGGCATCCAATCAAAGATTGCCAGGCATGCAAAGAATCAGGGAAATGCTCTTCATCATCCATAATGAGGAGAATAATCAACCAAACTGACTCAGAACTTGCACGGATGTCAGAATTATTACTTGAGGCTACTAAAACAGTAATTACTGTATTACATATGTTTAAAAAGTTAAGTAGATATAGAGAACATAAGATATTAAAAAAGACCCAAATTGAAATGCAAATGAAAACCACAGTAAGATATCTCCTCCTAAATATCACAATAGCTATTATCAAAAAACAAGAAATAACAAATGTTGGCATGAATGTGGAGAAAAGGGAACCTTGTGCACTGTCAGTGGAAATGTAAATTTGTGCAGTCACTATGGAAAACAGTACGGACAGTCCTCAAAAAATAAAGAATAGAACTACCATGTGATCCAGCAATTCCACTTCTGGATATTTATCCAAAGTAATTGAAAACACTAACTCAAAAAGATACATGCACCTCATGTTCACTGCAGCATTATTTACAAAAGCAAAGACATGGAAGCAATCGATGGATGAATGGATAAGATAATGGGAAATATATATATATATATATATATATATATAT